ATAGGGTTCCTTAAAGGGATCTGTAGGGTTTATAGGGTTTAGGGTCTACTTGGAGGATCATGGGACTTAGTAAGTAAGGTTATAAGTACCTTAATTGGGGTTATAAGTATAGTTACCCTAATTATAGCCCTAGTTACTAAGTCCCATGATCCTTTAAGTAGACCTACCTGTTTGTTCTGTTAGTTTCTTACCTGCTCAAGAGCAGCCCAGGTTCAGTCCTTGCACAGCAGTGCATTGACGCACTGGGTGGTTTTTGCATAGTTTGCTAGCAGAAAATACCAGAATATAGTAGAATATAGCGAACATGTACAAGATACTACAGTATAGTATAGAACAGTTGGTATTGATTGTTCACAACAGGCCCTCGAATGAGCTCTTGGTTTCTACCATGCTGGGGAACATCGTGTCCACCCTCTTAGCGGTTTACGCCTTCCCTGAGCCCTTGGATTCAAGCGAGATCATCACCATCTGGGTGTTCCTTGGTGATTTTTGGCACGACCCTCCTGCTGGTGCTGATACAGTAAGTTAATCAGTCATCCTTCGAAGTAAGCCTTAAACCCTAACACTTACAGTGTGCCAACAGAAACTGCCCAGAAAATGCCCAAGACCGAGGTACGACATCTTGGCGCTGTTGGCCGTGGACTTGGCCAAGATGGTATACAAGTTCATTCACGAGGCCGAAGCAGCTGGCATCATCGAGCCTTGGATGCAAGGAGATTAGGGCATTTTTGGAACTTTCTGGTTTGGGGTTTGGGGTGTGGAATTTGGGGTTTAAGCGCTTTGGTGTTGCAGTGTGCCTGGCGGCTCGGGTGGGATTGAAGGTTTTGCAGAGTTGGGGAGATCCCGTGCGGCAGCTATGATTTCGATAGCATTCTGGGGGTGAGTAGTGGTGGGTGGCAGCAGGGTCAGCGCTCTGCTGGTGTCATCTTGGTTATGGATAAGTACATTCTTCTGCGAATCTCATTGCCTTGATTGTTGCTGGTGTTGCTGCTGTTGGAAAGATGATGACGTTGATAGTGATGGTGATCACACTTGTTGTGGTGGTGATGATGATGATGATGATGAATATACCGATGGCGCTGACGATAGCAATGATGGTGATGGTTGCTGCTGCTGCTGCTGCTGCTGCTGCTGCTGCTGCTGCTGCTCGTTGTTGGTGGTGGCGGCGGTGTTGCTGTTGGTGTTGGATTTGCTGTTGGCGCTGCTATCCTCGTCCTCGTTGTGGTTGTTGTTGTTGTGGTTAGGTTTGTGGTTGTGTTTGTTTGTGTTGTTGTTGTTGTTGTTGTTGTTGTTGTTGTTGTTGTTGTTGTTGTTGTTGTTGTTGTTGTTGTTGTTGTTGTTGTTGTTGTTGTTGTTGTTGTTGTTGTTGTTGTTGTTTTTGTTGTTGTTTTTGTTGTTGTTGTTGTTGTTGTTGTTGTTTGTTGTTGTTGTTGTTGTTGTTGTTGTTGTTGTTGTTGTTGTTGTTGTTGTTGTTGTTGTTGTTGTTGTTGTTGTTGTTGTTGTTGTTGTTGTTGTTGTTGTTGTTGTTGTTGTTGTTGTTGTTGTTGTTGTTGTTGTTGTTGTTGTTGTTGTTGTTGTTGTTGTTGTTGTTGTTGTTGTTTTTGTTGTTGTTGTTGTTGTTGTTGTTGTTGTTGTTGTTGTTGTTGTTGTTGTTGTTGTTGTTGTTGTTGTTGTTGTTGTTGTTGTTGTTGTTGTTGTTGTTGTTGTTGTTGTTGTTGTTGTTGTTGTTGTTGTTGTTGTTGTTGTTGTTGTTGTTGTTGTTGTTGTTGTTGTTGTTGTTGTTGTTGTTGTTGTTGTTGTTGTTGTTGTTGTTGTTGTTGTTGTTGTTGGTTGTTGTTGTTTTGTTGTTGTTGTTGTTGTTGTTGTTGTTGTTGTTGTTGTTGTTGTTGTTGTTGTTGTTGTTGTTGTTGTTGTTGTTGTTGTTGTTGTTGTTTTGGTTGAGTTTGTGGTTGTGGTGGTGGCTCGGTGGCGGTGGCGGCCGCGGTGGTGATGCCATCGCGATCATATCTCTCTCAGCGTGGGCCCTGTGAGGATGAGTATCAGATCGAGCAGGAGGACAAGTCCTTGCAGCACGGCGATGAGACCAAGCCGATCGAGAACCCAGAGGCTCACATCAAGAAGTACCGTGAGAGCGTCATGATCATGAAGCAAAACAGCACCCTGGCAAGAAGTGGCAGCAAGCATAATCTAACATATATATATATATATATACATATACATATATAAAATAGTAATTATAGACTTTTGTTGTTTCTCCTTTGGCTTCTTTGTCAGCAAGCCGAAAGCCATAGCCGACAGCCCTTCTAGAGTCCTATCCGCTTTTTCAGGCGTGCGCTTGAGCCAGAAGCCGCGCTCCTCCATGAAGTTCTTGTCTACAGGGCAGCAGAGATCCAGCCGGATCGTAACGCAGTCTTCCAATATGTCCAACAAGAACTTCACGCAGACGCGCACCTCCATCCGAATGGGTGATGACTTGCGCAAGAGGACCCCCGCCAACTCCATCCGCATCAAGTGAGTGCTGCAGCAGTACTAAATTTTGCCTGCCACCCGCCAGGGCGAAGGCAGTATGGTTTAAGCCTTTTGTGCCTTACAGGCACCGTGTAATCGCTTAATATTGAAGCAGTCTCATGAGATTAACCAGACTCTGTAACCAGACAGCCAAAGATTGGGGAAAAGTGCACTGTAATGGCCAGCAGTGCTAGAGGGCTCGCCGCTACTTGTCATGGCGTTCTGAAAGTCTTTGCGCCGGGTCAACAGCAACTTTTGCGATCCACAAAATCCCTTGCGTAAATGGCTCAGAGTTGACTCAGCATGGTTTTCACACTGCAGTTGCTGTTTGTTGTCTCTGCATTCTTCTTCATACGCTATTCGTACACATGCTCTCAATTCGAATGTAGGAGACTGTTTGCTGCTACTAATGTTCGTGGCAAAGCGATCAGCAATGCACCAGGCGACGTAGGGGAATCGGGAGCTTCGGAGATAAGCAGGCGTGTGGATCTACTCGGGCGATTCCGAGATACCTACAGTGTCCCACTGCTGGTCAATGAGGATTCATGTTGCTGTGGTTCTGATGTTTGCAGTTACGACTTTACTTCACAATTACTGCTACCAGTCAATCATACATCATATATGCCATATTTTATATTATATAGCATATAGTATCGTTGATATTTGTTCTTGTTGCTGTTGCTGGTGACTAGTCGGTCTCTGTGCTGGCTTTGGGCCCCCAGCCAGCCGCGTAAGCATGTCGAGCCGATGGCCGGCGACTGCGCAGGCAGCCCGAGCCCCCGTAGTCTCCTTGGGAATTTGTATTTTTTGTTCATATCATTTCATATCAAACCCAGAGAATATCAAGCATATTGTTGTTATTATGGTTCTAAGGCGGGTATAGTAAACACTACAAGGCCTGTATTTTCCATACATTCATCGAGTGCATTCGTGGCTACCGGATACGGTACCTAATGATTTAGGGGTCAGGGACACCTGTGTAGCTTTACCAATTACCAGTTACTACCACTGTTGTGATGCGGAAGATCGTAGCTCCACTTTTGTTGCGGCTGCGATGGTCCATTGCTCCTACCCGGCTACCCGTAAACTCCAAGCCTGAGCAAAAAGCCCTACATATATGATGCAGAATCCTATCTAAACCCTACATAAATCATTGTGCCGAAAATGCGGCACACCAGATCGCGGTCGGGGCGCCCAACAGGGCTATGTCGTGTTGTCCGACAGAATGCAACACTGTTTGAGGGGTCGTCAGAAGGTAAGCCTCGTTTGAAGGTATTGAGATCTTCATGGTATTTTGTTGTTGTAACATGGCCAAATCAAGACACACTTCTATTGTCGGGTCCATACAATTACCAGGCCACAAGGATCTTAGCTGCATTCATATTGCCAGCAGTTGGCTACACACACCTTGTAAGTACATATACATATGTATATATATATACACACAAATAGACGGGTAGACAGAGAGAGAGAGAGAGAGAGAGAGAGAGAGAGAGAGAGAGAGAGAGCGCGGGAGGGAGGGAGGGAGGGAGAGAGAGAGAGAGAGAGAGAGAGAGAGAGAGAGAGAGAGAGAGAGAGGGAGAGGAGAGAGAGAGAGAGAGAGACAGAGAGAGACCGAGAGAGATAGAGAGAGAGAGAGAGAGAGAGAGAGAGAGAGAGAGAGAAAGAGAAAGAGAAAGAGAAAGAGAAAGAGAAAGAGAAAGAGAAAGAGAAAGAGAAAGAGAGCGAGGGAGGGAGGGAGGGAGGGAGAGTAATGCAGGGCCTTAACAATTACCTATGCTATTCTGGGGGTTCCTCATTATATTTATACTGTCATGGGCCCCAAAACCCACTAAGGCCCCTTTCTCAAAATACTCCACGCTCAGGGATCTGAGAACTCGAACGATGATTCCAGGAACTCCCAACACTTGCGCCAGGCGACTTCTATGGGAAGTTCCACGCGCTGCAGACCTTCGCTGGGCACCCCCTGCGCCCTCACTTCCTAGGTGCTTCGCAGAGCTTTGGATTTGAGGCTTTAGGGTTGGATGGACGGCGCAGAGCTTCGGCTTGAGTTTTGGTGGTTATGTCAGAGACGGGCGGGGTGTTCTGCCTGTTATTACCGATTGCTCGAAGAGAATTCAGGCTCGATCAATAGAGAGTTTTGGACAGTTATGTGGGAGTTCCGATTAAAGGAACCCTATAAGTAGCAAGATCCTCATGAAACTGCGCCTTGCTCAAAAGGGGCACACCCCAACTCGGAATCCCATCGGTTTGCCTGAACCGCTGCCGCCCGTCTGCCATAACCACAGCCACAAGCAGCGTCGCTGTGCCCCCTGACATGTATCAACTTCTCTTGTCCATATCATCATAAATCGGAAGTCTGCAGTTAGCAGGTAACGCTTTCATGACTATCATGAGCACTAGCAGTCTCATTATGCCAGTGTGACTCCTGTCTTTATTAGCCTACCAGCGTTTTTGGTGTTGTCAGTGATTCTTCTGTCACTTCAACGGCCATGGCTTTGGGGCCGGGCTCCTTGGAATCCTGGATGCAGCAGCTGCCCGCAGAGGCAAAATCCCGAAGCATTTGCCAGCTGGCACTGCCCGGTGCCCACAATGCAGGGGCGAGTGAGGTGAAGTGCATCTCGCCTTTGGTGTCTGGTGGAGGCTATCTGGCAAATGTGGCCAAGAACAGCGTAGCCAACGCGCTTGCAAAGCCGTTGGCAGGAGCTATGGCAGTATGCCAGGCGGATGGCATTGGGCAGCTGCTGCGGAAAGGAGTTCGCTTGCTGGATTTGCGTCTGGGGCTGCATGACGGACTGCTCTACATCTGCCACACTGTGGTTTGCAATCGGACTTTTTGCAGTGTGCTCGAGGAGGTGGCGGAGTTCCTCAGTGAACAGCCAGAGGAGGTGGTGGTTCTCTTAGTCAAGCGTGACTGGGGTGCCAGGGACTACTTCGACACCCAGGACAGGACGGAGCACAGACTTGCATGTTGCTTGCCGCCTACTTGGATATGTGTGTATATGCTGTGTGCATGTATGCACTGTATCTATCTTGGCTCGCTAGCTGCTAGCTAGCCAGCTTGCTATGCATCTATCCATCCATCCTTCGATCCATCTATCTGTCTGTCTATCTATCTGTCTATCTGACTGCCAATCTGTGTCTATGATTGTCTACGTGTGTGTATATATATATAATGAAATAACACCTACTCACAGAAAGTATTCCGCCAAATAGATGCCTGACGAGCCTCCGCTTGAAGGAGACATGGTCCAAAGTGCAGACTTCGCTTCATACGTTGCTTGGTCCTCAGCTCCTTGAGAACGAGGACCGATTGTTCTAGGATCCTGTACGTAGTAGTATCATAGGTAGCCTGAGAGAAAAGTAGTAGAGTACTGTAGTATTGAGTCTTGCAGCATTATTCGGTGTTATAGCAGTTTAGCACGGGCTAGATTTCCTCGGCTCCTTGAGAACGAGGACCTGCCGAAGCCCTTGACTGACTTAGTGGCGCGCAATCGGAGGGTCCTTGCTATGGTGGAGCTGCCCGAGCACGCGAAGCACATGTGTGGGATCCGAATAACTGGGCGGAACCTTCAATCCAGCTGGAAGGATGAAACTCGGACAGTGCCCGACATGCTGAAAGATCTGGAATCCTGGTATCAGTCTGGGCGCATGCGTCCTGAGCCGGGATGCCTGAAAGTCCTGGAGGTCTGCTTGCCCGGAACACCCTACAGCCTCGGCCCCTCTGCTTGCGCGGCGTTCTGCCGCTTTCTCGAGGATGGGCATGACGTTCACGTGGCCACCAAACTCGACTTTCCGGATGAGACGACGATCCGCACGATCGTGGAGCAAAATTGGCGCGAACCCAGTGCCACCCAAGGCCAACGAGCGAAGCCAGATGTTAAGGTTGCGCGTGATGTGTCCGACGTTTACCAGAAACTCACGGCACAGCCTTGCGCGGGCAACTGCCTTGACAAGCTAGACAACATGACCGCGTTGCTGCAGAGCTTCACTTCGACTCCCTTCCTCGGCATTGTGTATGGTGGAAAATCAGGTGGCAACAATTGGGGTTACATGGCGACCAGCTGCAAGAACAGCAAGAAATCCTGGATCTCCGCGTGTTGCTACTGCTACCTTGAGCTGCTGCCTAGCTCGTCAGCCTCACGTGGCCTAAGCCGTGATGCCTTCCGCGAGGGCTGCGAAGACAGTATACGTGAGTCTATTACGGCATTTCCCGATGGAAGTAAGGACTGCTGCATCGAGCGAGCATCCTTGATTGCTAAGACGATGTCCGAGAAAGCAGAAAAGTGCTGTTACGCAATCTGCAAGCGCTGCCCGGGGGGCTTCGACCAGTGGGCCTACAAAGGGCCCGAATCTGGTGGTCATCACTTCCACGAGTGGCGCGAGACGAGTTCTGGCTTTTTTGGGCTGGGCACCGTAAGCCACTGTTTCGTCGTACAGCTTTACTGAGGCAGAGGCATGAAAGTGGATGCGGGGGCAACTGCTAGTTCTGGGCCTGCGAACTGGCCACCTAAACCTTGAATCCTAGATCCGGAACGAAATCCGGACTAAATCCCAGGTTCGACATGTTCCATAGTCGATCTTAGGCTCGATCTCTCCAGTTGAGCTCTGAGGCGTGCTCATGCAAGTTTTACATCGCTACGCGCGCGCTGTGCACTCTGCCACTTCACCGGCATGTGGGGACCGAGCCATGCTGTGCTAGGACTCTAAGGTCTCAGGGCTTCAGGTTGAAACGGATTACTTCCCTTATAGACCCCTATAGATCCCTTTAAGGAGCCCTTTAAGGATATACTTTACGTCATATTTTTAGGCTTAGGGCTTTTTCAGTCGCCAGGCTTTGCCCACAATCATCGAGCCAGTAGAACCTTTCCGCCCAATCTTCTGTAGAGAGGCGACGCTGATGGCTGCCTTGCACGAGGCTTTCGCTTCTTTACAGCCCGGGGCACAGCTTGATAGAGTGCCGTTCACCATCTCTAGGCTGTCATAATGTTGGAGCCTGATAATCAGAATAAAAGCATTTTGGGAATAGCAAATAGTAGACGACATACAATGAGGTTATATTGGTAGTGGTTCAGGTTTCTATGTTTTTGTTTGCGGAAATGGGTTCGGCTCATCCTCCTGGATGATTCCGATTGGTTCATGTCGGGGGATAGTAAGCTTCTGAGTCTGAACAGCACAGGTATAGCCGGAGTTTGGTAAATTTTGCTTGTTGCTTGTGTACCAGAATGTACTGCACTGCAGTTCAGAAGTATGACTGAGATCCTCTCCAAGAAAGGTTTCTGGAGTCACTGCTACAGGATGAGCAGGTGGTACTATTGTTGATGCCGCAGTGCTATTGCTGCAGTAGGAACCGTACAGGGGAAATCATCAGGAGCCGCGACCACCACCACCACCACCACCACCACCACCACCACCACCACCACCACCACCACCACCACCACCACCACCACCACCACCACCACCACCACCACCACCACCACCACCACCACCACCACCACCACCACCACCACCACCACCACCTCCACCACCTGGTGCTTTGATGAGCACCACCATCGCCTCTGCCCACAACCGCCGCCATGACCAGTGTGACAACAATGATAATTTGGGAATGATCACAGAGAGATCGACAACGGCAACATCATGGCAGCAATTAAGCGAGCATGCTCATGCTTGTCCTCCTCCGCTTACTGCTGCTTCTACTACTACCGTACCATCTACTGCGCAACAGCATCAGCCTCCGCACCAACTAGAAGACACGACATGTGGGTGGTTGTCAAAATCATGGTCTCTTTTTGGGTACCCTAAATATTAGGTGCCGTATTATAATAGGGAGCCGAAAAGGGACCCTAATTTTGACAACTACCCATGTCAGTCTCAGCAAGTACGGCATGACGAACAGCATCCTGCTTTGGGCGTTGTTTCTATGAGCAGTTGCACAGATTTCCCCATGCATGCTTGAGTCGTGGCGAAACCCTACTTAAAGGATCATGGACTAGGGTTATGATTAGGGTAAGTATACTTATAACTACTTATAACCCCAAATAAAGGTACTTATAACCTTACTTACTAAGTCCCACGATCCTCCAAGAAGAAGATCCGAGAAGTGCCTCGGATCAAGGTGTCAGCGCGGTACCAGATTCAGCAGGGACACTGGCAGCCGGATGTGGCCTGACCCGTATGGGATTCCGCGTCAAAATACAGAGTTACACTTGGAGGTTCAGGGGTAGTTATAAGTAGGGGTATACGGTATAAGTCCCTAATAAGAGTTATATAGTTACCCTACGTATAACCCCACTTATTACTACCCATGAACCTCCAAGTAACGGTACTTCATGCTTTGGGGATGCAGGTCTGTCGCCAAGAGCTGTCAGTCGTTACCGCGAGCGGGGAAGATACATGTTCGGGCTTCTGATTCTTCTGATGAAGAGAGAAGAGCGGCGAGAGAAGAGCGGCGAGCCCTAAACGTAAATCCTAAACGGCCCTGAACGGCCCTAGAGCCTAGACTCTTAGACACTACGCACTACACCAAACTCTTTAACCCGGAACAGATGCTCGCAGTTTGCAGTGCCGCAGCGATTTCCGTCGCCCTAAATCTTTCGGTCTCGACCGCTTTGCACAGCAGCTGTGATACTTTCTTGCCATTCTCATGCAAATCTTGATGTCGCCCTGCTTCTGTTATGGTTATGGTTGTTGTTGTTGTTGCTGCTGCTGCATTATCGCAACTGTTCTCGCCATGTTTGTTCCTATCACACACCTGCTTGTAGCACGAGGTCTACTTTGGCCTCTGTGCGCCTCGACATTGCGATGAGGGCCACGTAGAGGCGCACCATCTTGCAGCAGATACCATAAGAAGCCCTAAACCCTAAACCCCCCCCCCCCCCCCCCCAAATCCGTAAAGCTCCCAAGAGGTTTGTGGTGATGGCATGAGCCTCTGAGCTTCGAAGTCGGAACACAGCACGGGGATATGCCTACCATCCTGGATTCAAGGTGAGTACGACGAGCTTCCCCCGTCAGGCCTTGAAGAGTGGTTCCGATTGCATGAGCCTTCAGCAAATTCCGGGCCCCGACCATCCTCTCTTAAGCCCTGAACCCCAAACCCTAAACCTTAAACCCTTAAATCCTGAACCTTAAACCCTTACCCTTACCCTAACCCTGAAGGACCTACCTTTTTAAGGACTTATATATGGAAATCATAATAAGGAACCCTAAAAAGGTAGGTTTTTTCAGGGTTAAGGTAAACTGTTGAAATGCTTCTCACTGCATGCCCAGGTATCAGGTTAGACAGGTGTGTAGTCTGCTTGAAGGGATTGCCGGCACTTGTATAGTTTCCTTCAGGTAGGCTTGTACATGTGTGTTTCCTGTATCCTTTGGCTTAGGGGAAGGCTGCGTAGGAAAGCCTCTTGAGCCATGTGCACTGTAATGTGTACTGTAACCAACAACTTGTAAAGCTGTACTGGTCGTTTGTTGGTTTGTCGGTTCTCTTGTTGCTTCGTTGAGATCGTGAGTCGCCTCTGCGCCCAGCCATAGAAAACATTCTGCGTGAGCTTCGCTGCAGGGTATGGCCACCCAGGGTGAACACCTTCAACAGGTTATGAGCCCAACGCCTGGGCCAGAAGCAACCGGAGCGGTGGCTTCTCCGGCCTCTCTGCATGGAGTGCGGGGAGGCGGGGATGCACCGCAGACTACAGTGAATGGTACAACCGCCGGAGTTGGAGTGCCATCGCCCTCTGGGCTTGCGCAGCCTATTGGGGATGGAATCCAGCAAACTATGATGGATGCGTCGTCGGGGCCATCGACTTCCACAGCTGGTCCAGTGCCATCCCCTCAGCTGCCACAAGAAACTGTTGGAACAGCCGGCCAACCGAGAGTTTCAGCAGTCGGTAGGACAGGAGGCGATGGAACACTAGGCCAGGTTGGAGGCTTGGGCACAGCTGGCGTTACGTATGAAGCAGTATCTACCACGGAGGTCGCTGATGCGAGTGGGGTGCATGGAGATGCAACTGCAGTGACTCAGGGTTTCAGTGTGGCCACCGAAAGTGGAATGGCTAGCGCTCAGATCAATGTTGCCGCAGGCGTCTCAGGGTACAACCCATCTGCAGCGAATCCTGGAAGTAGTGCTGAGGGCTTTGAAACGCCCAGATCAACGGCGTACGGGGCGTCAGCGGTCATGCAGACTGGGGCTCAGGCTTTTGCTAGTCAGTTGCTAGGAAGAGTGCAGTCTCTGTTTGGTGGCGCGGCGAACGTACAGCCACTGCCGCAAGGGTGGGCTCCCAGTCCACTGACTTCTCCTCCAAGGCCGTCGCGACCACTACAGCCCCTCGAGAGAGGAGGCCGCGTCCTGCAAGATGAGTGTCAAGTGCCGATGCCGTTGTTCACTGGTGCCAACGCGCAGCAGCTTGCTGCCATGGAGCAAAGAGCTCCCTTGCTCTACGGGTCCGGGTCTCCGGACAGGCCTCCGCACACCGAGTCCTCATCTATTCCGCATGATGCGATTCAGGCAGAAGTCGCGCGACAGCTTGATGGGTTGAAGCAGCAACTGCGAGCTGAGCAAGAGAGAGCTGGTCGTGCTGAGGCCGAACTCTCGAGGATTCGGTCTCAGCAGGCTGGTGAAGTTGAGGCTACGGCGTTGCAGCAGGTGGGTACTAGGGAGGTTGGCTTTAGTGGGTTTGGTGATAGTGGGTTCGGTTCGCATCCTGTCGCCAACACTGGGGTTGGATTTGCCCCTTCTTCATCCTCACCGCCTCCTCCTCCGCCTCCTTCCGCTCCCGAGCCTCAGGGCTTCGCTGGTTTGTTCTCAGGGCTCCTTGGTTCCGGTGCGCGGTCTTCCAGCCCTGCACCGCAGAGGCCACAAGCAGAACCCAGAGGCACACTGCCAGCAGGAGCCGCGAGTGCATCAGGACCCACAGATCGTGAGATACTGATTGCTGGGATGCATCAACTTCAAGATGCCATGTCAGAGATGCTCAAGGGATCTCGTGCCGAACGCGATGGCGGCAATTCTCCCACCAACCCTGAAGCTGTTAAGCCAGGCATCTCGAGTTTCCCAGCTTTGGCAGAGCTCACTTCGGATGAAGGGTCTCTTCTGTACCAAGATTGGTTAGTCGTGATTGGGGGTTTGGTCGGTGATGTTTCGGACACAGCAGCAGAGTGGTGGCGTCAGGTTTTGGGTGTGGTTGATACGGCCTATGGGGTTTGGATTTCGTCATCACCCTTGGATAGGCTAAAGGTTGAGCCAGTTGTACCGGCTGAGTTGCTTCAAGGGCGATGGGCGCGTGTCAACTTTAGGATCTGTAGTATGCTTATGGCGGCAGTTCCAGAGTCTATCAAAGCAGACATTGTGGCCCGCAAATGCAATCAATCAGCTCCTTCCATCCTTTTCCGTTTGCACACCACGTACCAACCAGGTGGAGGTTCAGAAAAGGAGGTTATTCAGAAGAATCTCATGCAGCCCACTCCAGCATCTGATCCCTCCTCAGCCGTGAAGTCTTTGCGTGAGTGGATTCGTTGGTACAATCGCTGTGAAAGTTGCAACATGTCACCTCCGGACTCGACCATTTTGTCCAAGAGCCTCACTACCATCACTAGCCAAGTTTTGGCGCAGCATGAAGAAGCGAAGTTTCGAACGTTTATGCTTCGTTCCATGTTAAAAATGGATGCTCAACCAACTTCGTCTGCAGTCCTGGAGTACCACAAGCACTTGCTTGCAGAGATGGAAGCCCTTGCAGTCTCTAAGGCCACAGGTGTGAGTGCCCCTAAGGTTCGAGCTGTAGGCACGCCCAGTCCGGGAACATCTCCAAAGGCCAGTGGGCAGCCGCAGGCTTCAAAGCCCTGCAAGTTTTTCATGGGTACTTCGGGGTGTAGGCGGGGTCCTAAGTGCACGTTTAGCCACGACATGTCAGGACTTTCTCGTCAGGAGCGCAGCAAAAAGTGCTTAGCATGTGGCTCTGAGGCACACCGCCACAAGGACTGCCCGGTAGCTGGAGGAAGCCCAAAGGGGAAAGGACAGCCAGGTGGAGGAGACACCAACAATGCTGCAGGCCACAGGCCTACAACGGCTGATCAGGCGTCTACTGCAATCCAGCCGGGCGCGAGCCCAGGCCGAGCGGAGGACTTCACAGCGTTTATGCGCATGATGTTTGCAGCTGCCAGTTCTTCCGAAGCCTTTCCTCCTGCATCCACCCCAGCCGCTCCCGCGCAGCCTCCGGCGATTGAAGACAAACCTGCAGCACAGGAGGAGCCTAAAGCGAGCATTAAGACCATCCATCTCACAGCCATTGAGCCTGGGCAGGTTTTGGAAGTAGATGGTAGTCCTAGTTTTTTGGCTTTGGTAGACAGTGGGGCCACTCATGCCCTTCGCGCTGCAAGTTCCGAAGCTGAATGGGCTAGTGCGCAACCCGTTGTCGTGTCACTGGCTGGAAAGGAGACTTCGGCTATGCGTTTGTCTGCTGCTGGTACTCTTCTGTTGCCTCCCACATCTAGTGCCCAAACCATCGTGCCGCTGGGTTCTGTCATCCAGCAGCTGGGGTATCGTTTGGATTGGACTGCCTCGCGATGCCGTTTGATTGCTCCTTCGGGTCGTGCCTTTCGCTTGAGGGTTAAAGGTGGGTGTCCAGAGATCATGGAATCAGAAGCCTTGGTGCTAATCAGCAAGCTAGAAGAAAAGCGGCTAGAGGACTTGAAGTCTCTGGAGGCGAATGTGGCCGAAGGTACCTCTCGCATCCGAGCTGTCAAAGCCTTGATGTCAAAGAGCTGGTGGGATCACATGCAGGACTATGTGAGCCTTGGATCTACCAATTCAGCCCAACTAGCGTTGCAGGCCGCGCCTTTCTTGGCAGATGTTCCCCAAGCAGCTTTGCAGGGACTTGTTGAGGATGTTGCTCAGGTTTCAGGATGGGAGCTCCTAAAGGGTTTGACGCATCTCAATCGGCGTCGCCGTCGTGCATTGCTCAATGCCCCAGAGTGGATTGTTCATCTGTACGCTGGAGCCCCAGGCCCTAAACCCTTTTCGCACCTTGAGTCCAAGAATGTGGCTGTCCTGGAATTGGACATTACCAGAGGCTCAGACCAAGATGTGCTACGCACTCCTGCTTGGCGCGCTCTAGTTTGGGGTGCCGTCCACGGCAAAGTGTCGCATCTTCTTGGTGCTCCACCGCGTGGTACGTTTGACACACATGCTCATGGGAGTAGCGTTGTCCCACCTGTGCGCGGGCCATTGGACTTATATGGCCTTCCAGATTTGTCAGCAGCACAACGGTCGAAGGTTGATCGTAAAACGGCTTTGCTTTGCCGACAGATTTGGTTGCATGCTGTGGCGACTGCAGGTCGCAAGGTTAGGCCGCCAGCTGGAACTACCAGGCTTGAGGTTGGTTTTCTGCTTGAGCACCCGATGCTTATTGATCGTTACGTGCCTCCTTCGCATGCCTTGTTTGGTCAGGTCCCTAGTTTTTGGAATACTGGACTTTGGAATTCCTATGCCGATGAAGCAGGGTTGTTTGAAGTTCATGTCTACAAGGGGGATTTAGAGCATGTGATAAGTAGGCCTACGACCTTAGGCACGAACTATGGTGATTTGCAGTACCTAGAGACCCTAAGCCTTGACAAGGGTTTGCGTGGTGTCACTGTGCAGGCAGCCGCTGCAGAGCCTGAGAGTGAGAGCAGTGGCATGCCTCATTTGCATCGCAAGTCCCATGAGTCAGCTCGATGGGCCCCTGGTTTTGCCCAAGCCGTGAGCATGAGCATCCAAAACTGGTCTAGGTGGTTCCGCATTGCTAAAACAAAGGCAGACGAACAGGCTTGGAGGGATCATGTGAAGAATAATCACCAACCGTTTCGGAAGGACTGTAGTGTGTGCATCAGAACTGCCGCCTCAGGACGCCGCCACGTTGGTGTGACTCACCCCTCGCAGTTCACTCTGTCTGCGGATGTCTGTGGACCTCTGAAGGTGCCAGCTGTTGACCCGGAAGGTAGGTCAAAGGCGCCGAAGAAGTTCAAGTATTTTCTAGCTGCTTCGTATCGCTTTCCTCGTTTGCACGGCATGCCCGAAATTCCAGATCCCTTAGATGAGGTAGATCTCTCCAAGGAGGAGCCGCTGGACGATTTCCTTGAGGGTGCAGGTACAGGGCTAACTGAAGAAGAAGCGAGGGATATCTTAGAGAATCTTAGTGAAGATGATGCCCCACCTCTTCCGCCTCCACCACATGCTCCGGACGACAGTTACAGCCCCTCTAAAGAGGAGGCCGAGAGCCAAGAAGCAGAGGAGGAGGAAGATGGAGAAGAGGCTCAGGAGGAGGAAGCTGACGACGAGGAGGAGGCACTGCCAAATCGCGGTCCTCAAGAAGGGGGTTGGGAGTTTGAGTATTCAGACCTCAAGGAGCCAGTGCAGTCTGACAGGCTCATGTTCTGCGTTCCGCTGTTTGACAATAAGTCGCCTTCCGTCCTTGAAGCCCTTCAAGAAATTTACCTCTACTTGCGGGCACTCAATCTTCCAGTCTTGCGTTTGCATACCGATAGGTCGCGTGAGTTCATGAATAAGGCCACTCGCAAGTGGTTTGCAAATCAGCTCGCGAGGGTCACCACAACTGAGGGTGATGCGCCAGCCCAAAACGGCTCAGCAGAGCGCACCATCAGGTGGCTTAAGACTCGGGCACGAACTCTACTGCGAGCTGCTGATTTCCCGCCGCCCCTGTGGGCATGTGCAATGCGAGCTGCTGCAGCACAGCAGAGGTCTGAGGTACTAGGTATGGCCACGAAGCTTGCAGCGCCTTTTGGTGCTAAGTGCCTGGTGCGCGTGAAGGCCTACACGTCTGTTGCAGCTGCTAAGGGCGAGATTGCCGAACGGTGGATTTCAGGTCGGTATGCGGGTTTATCTCCAACGGTTAATGAAGGTCATTTGGTGTACAGGGATGATGGCAAAGGCAATGGGTTCACACAGTCGCTGCACGTGAGAACTAAGGTTGTTGAGCCTCCTGAGAGCCCTGAGCAGTTTGAGGGCGAGTCTGTCCCTGTAAGGCGTCGCGTTGTAGGAAAGTCCCCGCCAGAAGCAGAGCTGAGAGCTGCCCAGCTCGGCTCATGGACGTGGTCTGAGCTTGAAGCTGGCGCAAAGACTTTGCTGCAGGAATGGGATCCTGAGGCTGCCAAGAATCTCCTCATGCAGGTTTGCCAAGCCTACCCCGAAGAGCAGTATCAAGCTGGAATGTTCCGTAGGGGAGGGATAGTAGGCTGTATGCGATCGACTTGGAGTAAGCCGTGGCTTGCCTCACTGTGCGCGCGCCTGTTGCAGCATCACGCACCTGATGCTACCTTCACGTCGGTGTGTCTGTCCAACTCGTGTCAAAAGGACATTCACACTGATTCTTCCAACCTTCCGGGAACTACAAACTCATCCTACCAGTGTGTCTTCCTAAGCGTGGGGGCGATCTTTGGGTTGAGTTAGGTAGTGGGGATGTTGTTAGGGGGTCTATTGTAGAGCACACTGATGCACGAGGTCGCAAGCGTCACGGTGTGGTGCACAGACTTGAAGAGGATGAAGTTTTCGAGTTTGATCCTAAGCGGCATCATTTCGTAACTCCCTTCAAGGGCACCCGCGTCGTTGTTATAGGCTACACTTCCGACGTGCTTGGAAAGGCCGAAAAAGATGACCTTGACGGCTTAGCAGATTTGGGATTTCCTCTCCCAGACTCCGCCTATCTCCAGGCCCCGCGTCTGTCTCAAGTACAGGAGGAGGAGGAGGCCACTGAGGCTCATGAGATCCCTATCCATCAACACCCTAGCTTCCCGGAGAGCCAACCCGTCAACAAAGGTGGTGGTTGGCAAGAGGTCTTTCCAGTTGCAGATGGGTTTGTAGACTTCGCTGTGAACTGGTCGTGTTCGTATCGGCCAGTTGCCCCTGTATGCAGCCCCTCTAAAGAGGAGGCCGGACCAGAGCAGGAGCAAAGACCCGTTGAGTTTGATGAGGCCTGGCCGGTTACTGTGTCTTGGGACATGTATGTTCCGCAGGAGCCCATGAGCGATGCCGCAAACGCCAGCAACTGCAGTTTGAGGGTGCTTAAGGTTGTAGAAAGTGGTTCGCGTAGCTCGCTAGAGGAGGAGGGTTTCGTAAGCGAAGGTAGACCCGTAATTCCCTACCGCCTGTGCAAAGCCGAACCGACGTTCACGAAGAACATAGAACACCTTCTAAGCAATCTAAGCTCACCTCTGCAAATCGTTCACACTGTAGACCCCGCAGAAGTCGCACTCAATCCAATCCCTTGGATTCCGTCCATTGAGAAAGAAGTAAAGGCCATTGAGCATGCGGTGCTCAGACTGCGCCCTTCAGACCCCAGGCAGGCCGAGTACTTGAGTGATCCTCGACTGCAGGTGGTACCTTCCAAGTTTGTGTTCACAGTGAAACCGCCCGACCAAGGGGCAGCAGCTGTTGGTGACACTGGAAAGCTTGCGCTCACTCAGCCCGACAACAGTACAGAGGCCCTTCAGGGCTCTCCAAAGGCTTCGTCGCAAGGCCAAGGTTTGTACCGTCGGAAAGCGAGACTTGTTGCTTGCGGAAATGTGGCGCCAAATACAGGCTTGGATGTGTATGCTGGAGGTGCTCAGGCTGAGAGCTTGAGAACAGTGATTGCCCTGGCAAGCTTCTTTGGTTGGTTGTTGGGAGTGTTGGATATCACCAGCGCGTTCCTCAAAACGCCTATTCCTTGTCTTGAAGGTTTCCCCATCTTTGCGTTGACCCCGCCCCGCTTGTTGGTCAAGCTTGGTCTTGCAGTTGCACATGAGCTGTGGATACTATCCCACGCGGTTTACGGCCTTCGAGAGGCCCCGCGCTTGTGGGGACAGTATCGAGATGCTTGTTTGGCAGCGTTGGTGTGGGACCTTGACGGCGTGACCTACCGGCTTGAGCCTTCGACCCTAGACCCGAACTGGTGGAAAGTCGTCAGGGTTGAAGGTGGTCGCGTTGAGGGCGCATTGTTGGTGTACGTTGATGACTTCTTGTTGTGTGGGTCGCTAGGTGTCCTTCAAAGTTTGGCAAAGGCTCTGCAAGAAAAGTGGGCCACAACACCGTTTGTGGTAGCTACCCCAGAGCAGCCGATCAAGTTCCTTGGCGTGGACATCATTGTCATTCCTCGTGGGTTTGTTCTCTCACAGCAGTCGTACGCAGAAGAAGTCTTGCGGCTTCATGAGGTACCTTGCCACGTGAGGGGTAGAATCCCTTGTCCTCGGGAGCTAGCGTCGTTTGAAGTTGGCGAAGGAGACTCCAGCCCCCCTGACGGGGAGGCCGTTCACCGCGCGCAACAGGTGACTGGTGAACTGCTGTGGTTGTCTCAACGTACTCGCCCGGACCTGGCGTTCACTGCCAGCTTGCTTGCTAGTTTGTCTACGAAGGCGCCTTGTCGTGCTCTACGCATTGCTGACCGTGCCTTGGCTTACTTGCAGCGAACCAAGACAGCGTCGCTGGTGTTTGAGGCGGACGGAACCCAACTTCACGGTTGGAGTGACGCAAGCTTCTCGCCAGAAGGCCTTCGCTCACATGGAGGCTGGTGCGTGTGTGTGCATGGATGTCCAGTTGCTTGGAGGTCGGCGCGTCAAGCTTTTGTGACACTTTCTACTGCTGAAAGTGAACTCACTGCTTCGATTGAGTGTGCAATCGCGCTTGAATCAATTGAGGCGTTGCTTCACACGGTTGGTTTTGACGTTGCGGAAGAAAGGGTTTTGCACGTTGATTCCCAAGCGTCACTTGCGATTTCTGACGGTCATGGATCATGGAGAACGCGACACCTACGGGTAAGAGCTGAGTACCTTCGTGAGCAGACTCGCTCTGGGAAGAAATCCGCACGCAGTATGAACTTCCCCAAGGTCCCTTTTACTTCACTGCGCACGGGGATTGTGTTCATCTAGATTCTAATTGTTGGGGTTTAAGGCGTAATACACCCTTAACTACCCGCAACTTGTGCCGTGTTTGCAGAGACCGCCACCGCACAGGTCTCTAAAGGCAAGCCAAGGTTCAAGGCTAGAGGTCCCAGGAACGGGCATGCTGTAAATAGTGCAGCGTGTGCTAGTTGCCTGTCGGCTCTAGCAAGGAGGAGTGTTGAAATGCTTCTCACTGCATGCCCAGGTATCAGGTTAGACAGGTGTGTAGTCTGCTTGAAGGGATTGCCGGCACTTGTATAGTTTCCTTCAGGTAGGCTTGTACATGTGTGTTTCCTGTATCCTTTGGCTTAGGGGAAGGCTGCGTAGGAAAGCCTCTTGAGCCATGTGTACTGTAACCAACAACTTGTAAAGCTGTACAGGTCGTTTGTTGGTTTGTCGGTTCTCTTGTTGCTTCGTTGAGATCGTGAGTCGCCTCTGCGCCCAGCCATAGAAAACATTCTGCGTGAGCTTCGCTGCAGGGTATGGCCACCCAGGGTGAACACCTTCAACATAAACCCTTAGACCCTAAACCAGGTGAGCCTGGCGCCAGCATACTTGGACTTCCTCCTGCGCTTCGAGGGTTTCACCGGGCAGCTGTTCGACCTCGAGGTAGAGGCCGATCTGCAAAGGACAACTGTCTAGGATGCCCAGTAGTACCCTTTATTCCCTTTTTGTAGTCCTAGGTTCTTTATAAAGTTACCCAATACCAAAAAGAGAGGCCTTTTTATTCTTAGGTTACTGGGTATCCTAGCTGTGCTGACACGCTGAAGCCAGAGAGAGAGGGAGAGAGAGGGAGCTATACGCCCATAGTCTTGCATTGTTTTACCAGCTTCCCACTACATCTCTGCATTACTGCATTGCTATATGACCTATGCCAGTTTAATTTGTTTGTATATTTACTCCACTCACCGTATCTACTATGCGTTTATATTTTCCTTTGTATTACCAGACTGCTGTACTACTATAGTGCTATAGCTACGGTCCTACATTACTAGATTAGCTACTCACCCTTTACACCCTAAACCCTAAACCCTGCAACCTAAACCCTAAACCTTAAACCCTAAACCCTAAACCCTACCACCCTAAAACACCCAAAGAGGCCTCCGACTTTTCGCTTCGCTGGCCATCAGCTCACTGGCTCTGGTTGTTGCTGCCGGTCGCGTCCGGCACTCGGGGCCTAGGGGAGCTTTGGGGATTCCGAAGTGAAGTTTACAAGGTTTACGGTTCAGGGCTTTGGGTTTAGGGTTTGGGTTCAGGGGTTGGGGTTTAGGGCTTCAGGTTCCGGGAGCGGGATTTAGGGCTTTAGGCTTAGGGTTTGGGGATTGGGAATTCAGAACCCTAAACTAGTAATAATAAGAGTATTAACTATAACAACAATTAGTAATAAGATTAGCAGGAACAATAATAATAAGGTTAACAAGCATAGTAATTGGTAGTAACATTAAGATTAATATTCACAATAGTATGATGTGAGGTATGTTTCTTACTTAGCCCTGAGGGTCCATGTGCCCAAATAGTATATACTTTGGGCCCAATGTACCTATATAGGGAGTATCTTAAGGCCAGAGTATCTACTATTTGGGTACATGGACCCTTTGGGAAGGGGACCCTAAATCCTAAACCCTAGATTTTGGAAAATCACGGTCCACTGTGCTCTGATGCTGCAACGGACTCCGCGCACCTACGACTGATGAGATAAATCCTGCATTACTTTCATGACCCTAAACTATGGGAATTAGGGCATAGTCCTTATTATGGGTAGTGCAGGATTTATATCATCAACCGTAGGTCATGACATGTGCAAGCCCACAGTTTTTAGTCCGAAACGGTTTAGGGTTTAGGCTGTAGGGGTTTACGGTTTAGGGTTTGCATCCCAAAAACCCAAAATATTCCTTTGCAGTCACCATGCAGTTCAAGTACAGTATGCCCCCCAAAACCCTGTTCTCAGTATTGCCCTAACCCTGAAGGACCTACCGTTTTAAGGACATATATATGGAACTCATAATAAGGAACCCTAAAAAGGTAGGTTATTCAGGGTTAAGGTGAGGCCCCAGTCTACACACGCCCGCCGTGTGGAGGTTTGGGACCGCCTGGGAGCTTCTCTCGTGGGGCCCCGGCAGGGATATCGGGCTCAGGCACCAGATCTCCAGGCCGGGTTTAGGGGTCTAAAGAATTAGGTTCCTTATCATTTTAACTATGGTATAATGAGCCCTAAAACCTATTCCAAGCTTTAAGGCCCCTAGAGTAGGGGTCTAAGGTTTGGGGTTTAGGGTGGGTTTAGGGGTCAATACTGTGATAGCGTCACATTGATGGTTATTTTCATACATGACTATAGTACTATGATGATCTCTTGTTTCTGTTCCCGGTGCAATGGTATAGTCTGGTATTGATCTCACACTGTTGCGGTTCGTAGTCGTAGGCCTTCTGTGCATATGATTGCTTAATGAGTTTCGGTTCTGGAATGATGTTTGCCAGATTCATAGTTCTATCAAGCTCCGTATCATGCGTGAGTATTCCTCCTGTTATGACTATGATCACAGTATGCGGAGTTGCTGTTGTGAGTGTGGCAATTTCGACGCCTGGGCAATTAGTCGTACTTTTCCCAGGATGACGCTGATTCCAATAGAATACATCACCACGATCCCTAGTCTAATTTTCGGGCCCCTTTCTTAGCTAAGCTCCGCTCTACGATGCTCCTCTGCGGCGCATGCATTCTGATGCCACAGGCGGGTCGGTCTCGACCAGGGGCTGCGCTGTTGTTCTACCCTAAACCCTCAACCCAAAGCCCCAAACCTAATTCGACTTTAACCCAAAATCCTAACACCCCAAACCCCAAACCTTCAATGCTAAGCCTTTGCTGTAGCAGGCTGTTCCAGCTGCCTCTTCAAGGTCACTTGGAGGCAGAGTGGTGCTTTCGATTCGACTGACTCTTGGGCTTTTGCGGAGTAGTTCAACCAAGGATTTTGATGAGAGTATATTGGGCTCGTTCCGAAATTGGTGAGAGTATGTTTTAGGTGCTATTGGCAGCAGGCTTTCTGAAGGAAAGCAGGGGGCTTTGAACTTGTGGAAGTTTAGAGATGCCTTTCCACTCAAGCTTTTGGGAGCTAGGGAGTTGAGCTGTTGTCGGAAGGAGCTTCTCGAAATCCCTTCCATTGGATTTAAACCCCATACTAACCCCTAAACCCTATGACCCCTTAACACCATAAAAACCTAATTCCTAAACCTGAAGCCCTAAAGCCTAAACCCATGTGGATTCCACCGACCTTAACTGCTAGGAGGAAAAAGGCGTCCATTAAAAAAAACCAAAGCTTAAAGCCTCCTCCGACAAGGCTGTCTCTGCTCTGAGAGCAGTGGGCACGCTGGCCATCCTTGCGACACCCGGCAGCGAGGAGACTCGGGGCTAAGGGCCCCGGAACACCCCAAAAAAGAGGCAATACGGTTGATGATTTAAATCCTGCATTACCTTAAGGACCCGAATCTATGGGAATTAGGGCATATTCCTTGTTATGGGTAATGCAGGATTTATATCATCAACCGTAGGGGGCTCTAATTTGGTACAATAGGGTTCTTTAAAGGTTTAGGGTTTAGGGCCGTTAGTGACTATTTTAGCTTCCACGAAAGGTTTTGGGAGTTCTTTTTCCATATGGGTTGTTAAATTACTATTCAAACCCCTACATCACGGAATCCTCGAGCTGCGTGGTCTTGCAATTAATTAATCACATAGAACAAAAGATAATATCTGTCATTCCATAGCGCTAGGGGGCGATAGATAAAATCTGCTGCTGCCGCTGCCGGAAGCCCCTGGGCTGAAGCCCCCGCGACGCCTCAGAGTCTAAACCCTCCAGACTCAACAATCGTCTCATCACCAAGGTACCATGTGTTTTTCCTGAAGCGGGACCTCGCTAAGGCCGGCTGCCCAGCTTTAAGTTTGGGACTCGTCTGATTCGTTCCCCTTTCAAAACTTTCCTCGCACATCTGTAGACTCCAATCTCTTCATCTTCTGGCCAAGAGCAACCCTAAACCCTAAACCCTAAACCCTAAACCCTAAACCCTAAACCCTAAACCCTAAACCCTAAACCCTATTCTAGAACCGCTTGTTAAACCCTCACAGGCCCTCCTTTGAACCCTTGAAAGTTCGGGCTGCAGTGTGTTAGCCGGAGCCTTTTTCGGGGAGGTCGCCTCCATGCCGTGGTTCGCTCGCCGGCTGCAGCATCTTGGAAGAGCAAGTATACCGGGTTCCGGGTTTAGGGTGCAGGATTTGGGTTCAGGGTTTGGGATTCAGTGCAGGGTTTAGGGTATATGGATTGGAGTTTAGGCAGCAGGGGTTCTTACGATTTAGGGTTGTGTAAGGGGAAACGGCCCTGTGCGTTACCATAGCGATCGGTGGCCCATTCCTGTTCTGCCTTCTTCCTGCTGCAGCTGCTGCTGTGAAACGGTGTCAAATCCGCATGGAGCAGTGGAAGCAAGACTTTCGGCGGTGTGAGATGCTATGATTCCTTTAGCCATAAGACCTTCGTGGGTCATGCCCAAAACCGGGAAGCCAGGCATTTGTGCATCCTCTACAGCTCTGTCTTCTCTGCCATTTCGGCGCCGCTGGCTGAACAAATAGGGCAATGCAATGATTCAGCTTCTGATGTTGATTCAGGGAAGAAGGCCCGGTCAAACATTTTGGAAGAGCTGTCTATGAGTTGTGGTATGTCCACATCTCGAACGATGCGAACCCTAGCTGCTGTCCGAGCAAGGATCATTGCAACAAAAGCACAGCGACATTGTACCAGGGTTGTCTATGGATGTTATGGGTTTAGCCTAAGCGGTCCTTTGTATTAACGATCCCAGTTGCACGCTGGGCCTCTCTCACACACACAGCAGCCCAGGTATTTCTGATGAACCGCTCTTTCGAGGTCCTTTGAGCGTTAGATTCGTGCGGGGCATGGGGATTCCGGGCTGCAGAGCATGCAAAGGTTTCAGAACCGCCTTGGCTGTATCACTCGCCGCGAAAGGCCCTAAACCCTCCACCCTAAACCCTGAAACCTCCACTGTCATGTGTCTTTTGTGGTTTGGAGTTTCGAGGGTGGAGCTGCCGTGCAGATGCCAGTTGTGATTGTTAGACTAGAAGTCTTGTCACTAATATGTGTATGCATGCATGCATGTAGGTAGGCATGTAGCTGAAGTATGTACTACTATAGTATCACGTATGCTTCAAACCTGCAGTGGAGTAGAGCGTATAGTAGAGTACATATATACTCCTCAAGACATAGCAAGTGTATACTTACATACATACATGCATACATACATACACAGATACATACATACATACTACGTATATATATATATATATATGTATATCAGAGCATACAAGTATTAAGGCGGCTTCTGCACTACTCCAAACCTTTCAACCTCCGCAGAGTTTACGCAACCTTGAGGAGCAACGCCGCCGTGGTGGGGGTGCTGGCGCATGGCTCCGCTGGGGTGCAGCTCGGAGCAGCACGGGATAAATTTTCAGATTGCCATGGTAGTAGCGGTTAGTGGCGGTCGTTGCAATCAGCAAGGGAAACAGAAGAAGACAACAACTGTCACATGATGCAGAGATGGTCAGGGCAAGAGGGCTACTGGCAGCGACATGTTGCGACTAAGTTGTTCACTCTCATACTGGGTTTCGAAATAGGTCTTTTTGGTTTCTGGCTTTACAATAATATAAACAAGACCACACAAAAGATGTATGTTCTAGGAGAGCAGTTTTAGAGTGAAGCCAAATCTGAGGCTTTCGCACCTTTGCTTTGTAATTTTGCTGCGGCTGCTGCTGGGTCCGACTCCGACTCCTACTCCCGCTCCCACTCTGACTCTGACGCCTATTCCTACTGCGACGACTACTATACTAGTCACTAGTACGACGGCTGCTACTAACAGTGCCAGTACCAGTATGAAAACACGAGTACGACGACTGCCAGACCGCCACCACCACGCGCTGCTACCGCAGGCACCACCGCCGCCACCACCACCACCGCCGCCACCACCGCCGCTAACAACCACCACCACCAAACCGCTCCTGCGGCTCCTCCTCTACCAGGAACACCAACACCGCGAGGACAACGACGATTACTATACTACAACTACCCGCATGATTGTATCGCTTCAAAACGCCTCCGCACCTCGCAGGTTGCCCGACTCTGGCGGAAGGCCCTTCGTCAGGCATCCAAGCTTCCTAATTATGCAGGGTTGAGGGCGTTTGGTTTTCAGTTCAGTCGTCTTGTAGGGGGGTGGAAACAACTAGTTCGTGTCGAGATTTGATGCTTTATGGCTATCGGGGCAACAGGTTGGTCCAGGGGTTGGAATTTGATGACAATGCGGGGCTATCTCTGCATGTCACCAATGCCTAGTTTGGAGAGTAGTATCCTTCTATTGAAGCCAACTGAATGCAATATAGGGGTCGGAGTAATCAGCGATAGTATCCCCTCGCAGTGCCTACATGACTTTCGCATGATATACCCCAAGACCCTAGTTGAATCATTAAGACCCCCATGTAAAGTGTCGGGCTCCCTTGTCCATGACAGGTTCCTCCGCTGCTGTTGGCCTATGCGCTGTTCCATCAAGGCAGACATCTGCTGGGACATCCCGGAAGATGGGTGGAGCTACCTGCAGCTACATGCTTCCTAAACTAGACAATAAAGGGCCTCACTAATTACCTCTGCCGCTTTGCGGGGTTCCTTATTATAATGATAGTATAATGGGCCCCGAAATCCCATTCTAATTATTAACCCCTTTTTCAAGCTTATAGAATACAGTTAATTAAGTATAGTGTGATGTAGCAACATATGGCGAGCCTGTTAGCATCGCAGGTCTGCCGCTCCTTCCATTGGACGTTGAGGCACGCTCCTCCCTCGAGGCAGGCCCCTTTTCTGGTGCGATCACTGTTTGAGTCTGGGTTCAGCTGTTCTACACGCTTGAAGGATCATGGGACTTAGTAACTAGGGTTATAATTAGGGTAACTATACTTATAACTACTTATAACCCCAAATAAAGTACTTGTAACCTTACTTACTAAGTCCCATGATCCTCCAAGCGGATGTTGGATGCAAACGGCTATCTCACCAGCGGGCAAGAGAGCCCATCCAGGGCAAGAAGCGGCTCTGCTCGAGATTCGAGGATTCCTTCAACCCGGAATGTCTCTTGTCTGAAGCAGCCGCGTTGTTTGTCACATGGGGTTGCCATCGTTGCTTGCCAATGTCTGCGTGCCGGAGCAAACCAGTGAAGAGCAAAGCCGTGTCACCAGCGTGCTGATATACCCTCTTCCGTAGACGTGCCTCCACTCGAAGGGACTGCTCCAACAGTCCTGGTTCTCGTGATGTTGCGACGTTGATTCCACAACATATTCTAGAGGCCACGATGTGACTGCAGTCGGCGAGGTTGGAACACCTTTGCAAACTGGGCCATCCTTCGCGACGCACAGCTCGATGCCACTGGAACTGCAGGACACTGGTTTTTCGGAATCACAGATTTGGGGATAATCGAAGTGCGAGAGCAGAACAAGGGACCCTATGTGCATGCATGCAGCTGCCGTCGTCTGTACAAATAACGGTTATTGTCAATCTCCTGATCGAGATGGTGCTGCTGTAGTTGTTGTTGGTACCGAATATAAATCACTGTCAGGTACCTGCCTCCGGGTTCGTGCGCTCATGTTGCCATCAGTATTGCTACAAGTACAAGTGTTTGTTGTTTTGGTTGCTTTTCTTGTTGCTACTAGGTTGTTCCTCCTGAACCCTTAGCCCTACGTTCTCTGAGCCCTTAACCCGGAACACCAATATCCCTTGTCTACGACACTAAAGCCAAAAGTCGTGGAACCCGGACCCAGAAACTTACACCAGGCTCTGCACCCCTTTCTCTAAAGCCCGAAAGCCCTAAGCCCCTAAGCCCTTATCTCTAAACCCAAAGCTACCAAACCCAAAACCTCACTAATTATAGAGCTCTGAAAATTATTCCTTTATCGCCCTTGAAGGCTCCCTATATTGCCTGCACAACGCCAGGTTAGCATGGCAATGCTACTAGCCTCGTGGCTGCATTCGGCCGCCAGGATTCCGTGCAAGAAGCTGACAGCAGGGTGTTGATAGCGCGTTGTACGGGTGTTGATAGGGCTGATAGGGTTTAATTACCATAATTTGGGATCAAAGGTTTTGGGATTTAGGGCCTTCGCGCAATTGACGCTCTAATTTAGGCTTCAGGGTTTGACACGGGGAGCGCTTTCTTGCGGCCATAGGGTTGTCTCAAGGCCAATCTGTGTGGCACCCGCGTGTTCTTCCTATTTCGGTTGTTTGGCCTGAGAAGCATAACCACAAAGCACCAAAACTGTGACCCTCTGACGCTCTGACTCACGAGCTCTGGTCCTGAAGCCACACACTTGCACGCCAGAAGCTTGAATCGCATTATTGCTAATATGATTCTTGCAACTACCTTCGCTAAATCCAAAACGCTAAAACCTAAACTCTCTTCGAGATTCTCAACAGCTGCTGCGAGGTTTTTCGGGGGATCGTCGGCGATCTTCTGGGCTTGGCGCTGACGGACAGATTGAGGGCTACAGTGGGGAGTTTAGGATCTTGGGTTGCAAGATGGGATGTCGTGTTAAGGCCCCTACTAGACTTTAAACCTTCAAGCTTCAACTCTCAACCCTAAATCGTGACCATCAGCTGCACCTCACAGCCCGAATCCTCTGAACCGAAGGCCCCCGTTCGCAAGTTTGGGGGGTTTCAGGTTTCTGATGTACAGCACCGGGATGTCAGGTTTAGATAGAGGGTTTCAGGAGTAGTGGCGTTTAGTTTTCGCGCTCCTTCAACTTGAAATCATAGCCTGGAGTATTGATTGAGTGCGTGCAGACATGCACACGGACGTACGTATGTGCTCACATGCGCATGCATGTATGTATGTAAGTATGTACGCATGTAACAGTTTATGCATGTAACTACATGCATGTACATGTATGTACATGTATGTATGTATGAAAGTACGTACCATGTATGTATGTATGTATGTATGGATGGGCGTATGTATGTATGCATGCATGTATGTATGTATGTACGTATGTATGTATGTATAGACACATGTATGTCTACGGCCACAAGCCAAGAAGTAAGCACCGTTTTTGTGCATACATACTAAAACCACGTCTTCAATACATGCACATGCATACATGCATCTGTATACATATACAGATCTACATGCTTGTGCAATTGAGCCCTGCTCTATCTGCTACTAAGCCCCGGAAGAAGTTCACGCACCCCCGCCCCTGGCATGCTTGGAGGATCATGGGACTTAGTTAGTAAGGTTATAAGTACCTTAATTGGGGTTATAAGTAGTTATAAGTATAGTTACTGTTATTATAACCCTAGTTACTAAGTCCCATGATCCTTTAAGTAGACCCTAAACCCTGAACCCTGTAGATCCCTTTAAGGAACCCCTATAGATCCCTTTAAAGGGACCCTTAAAGGAACCCTAGTTACTAAATCCCATGACCCTTTAAGTGGGCGTGCAGGGAGCGCTCCTGGCCGTCGCTCTGCACAGCATCCTCCAGGAAGACCTTGGCGATGAGAATCTGACACTTGGGAGGATACGGTTGATCATATAAATCCTGCATTACCTTCATGACTCTAGACTAGGGGAATTATGGTATATCCCTTATTACGTATGGGTAATGCAGGGTTTATATCATCAACAGTAGTTTTGATTTCGAGGTTTCAGCTCGACAGGGCTCCAGAGGTGGGATGAGTCTGAGTATGTGGTGCACTCCCAGGTTAAGAGTCGCTCTGTCCGTGGGCAGTTTGAGGCTTGAAGGTTTAGGAGTGAGTAGAAGTGATGGGGATCTGATGGTTGGCAAACTTGAGCTGGCATCTGCTCAGTTCCCACACGGCATGGTTAGTTCAATACGCACTTCCGATTCCTTCTGCATTTTGATGTGCATGTTTCACCAGCAGATGACTAGAAGTTAGGATATGTTGTAGCATGCGTTTGTACATGCGGCTGTAATAGTCATATGCATATCTGCGTACACACATTTGTGCTTGAAGCAGCAGGTGGTTCTGATGTGTAACCGCAGCCATACTAGTGCCAACACCGACAGATAGGGTGCCTTATTTGTTAGGATAAGAGTTGGGGTATATCATATTTTGCCTCTTCCTAAAATATGATATACTCCAAACCCTTGGGTATATCATATGATGACTAGATTGAGGAACCCTTGCGAACAGACTTGTCTTTTGTCTTGGCTGAGTCTTTGGTCGCTGCCATACCGGCGCCTCCCGGAGACTTTGAGCACCATGATCATGGCAACCTGGCTTCCGCCACTTGCCATTAAGGGTACTTACAGGACCATTAAGGGTCCCTTTAAAGGGATCTATAGGGGTTCCTTAAAGGGATCTACAGGGTTCAGGGTTTAGGGTACTTACAGGATCATGGGACTTAGTAGCTAGGGTTATAATGAAGGTAACTATACTTTAACTACTTATCACCCCAATTGAGGTACTTATAACCTTAGTTTCTAAGTCTCATGATCCTCCAAGTAAGGGTACTTTAGGGTCCGCTTTTGAGGACCCTGCAGGAGTTGTAGGGTTTGGTTTGTTGCTGCTCCTGCAAGTCGTGGTAGTGTTCTTAGCCTCATTCATGTTGGAAGCGTTATTTATTCCTTTGGTCGTCGTGTTGTCCTTGCGTGGTTCACGTTTCTAGTGCACCAGCGCTGGCTCGGCTACCTTTGACTTTATGTAATTTAGATTTCTGCGGACATTCGGTCTTTTCAGCGGTACAGTATGGCTTAGATCATACTCACTGACCCTAAACCCTAAACGACCGTATGGTCCTTGCGGCGCAAGGTTCGGAGATTTTGGGAGTATCAAAAGCGTGCGCGGCGTCTTACATCATCCGCCTTTCCGCATGTTGAAGTTATCGGTGTTGTAACTATGTAGCAAACATGCACTTCAGGATTTTGCATCAGGTTAAAAGTAATTTCTCCGTTTCTAGCATAGTAATTATACCTCAGAACTCAAAACCCTGTCGTAGCTACTACTTCAGGCGGCTGTAGATAGATTTTGAGGTGGTTAACGTAGAAGCCTAGATGTTTGCCAAGACTGTTCCTTATGTTTCCGGCGGTAGTTATAGTCTAACGTACCCCAAAGGCTACTCCATTAATTCTAGGTTCCTACGCAATAAAACCCTAAAGGAACCCTTACCGGAATCCTATTCTAATTGTTCTGGTCCATTTCAGGCCCCTTTTGTTTAGCGACGATCCAGACCTTCCATCCTTCAGTTATAGGGAATATACTTTCAATCAGGGATCCTATTATAAGTTAAGGCATCTTCCTAAATTAAGGGACATTTCAAGGTCTGGAAGGATCGAGCCTTCTCTCCTTAATTAGCCCCAGGGGTCCAAAGGACCCAATAATTAGGTACTCGGTCATAGGATAGTAGTTATGTAGGTTATGATTTTGGAGAGCGTATGATTTTTCGGTACTTGGACCCTTGGGGTAAGAGCCATTTCAAGGTCTGAGGGGATCGAGCCTTCTACTTGGAAGGGCAGGCGACTTAGTAAGTAGGTTATAAGTAGGGTTATAATTGGGGTAACTCCATTTAGGGTACTTAGAACTCTACTTATAGCCTACTTACTAAGTCCCCTGCCCTTCCAAGTATAGGTCTCTGCGCTTTCCTGGCTCCTGGACACTGGCTCTGGCAGTCGGCCTGGTGGTGCGCCGATGGAAGTCCTAGTAGAGTAGGTTACATCTAAGCTTCGTGGGATACCATAACCCCTATTATGAGGTTAGGGTGTATATAATCCCAATATAGTAGCCTTTAACCTCCCTATTTACTCCCAGTATACTCCCAAAGGTTAACCTTTCGTTCCCCAGGATACTCGATAAGTAGGAAGTGAAGTATGCGGTAAAAGGCTTTAGGGTTGGAACCTGTTCTTCCTTAAAGAGGGCTGGACCAAGCCTCTGCTTCTTCTTTTTTGTTGTCTGAGTTTTCGGTTTCGACGTGTTTTGAGGCTGCGATTTTTGTGTGCTTTCTAACACTGTTTAAGTTTAGCCTTTTCCAAACCCTGAATTCAGGGCGAGAGGGTGAAACCAACACCGCTACTAGGCTTGCCTTTGCTGTTCCTCTGTGTTACATTTTTCCCTGCCGCTGTAGATCAAAGCACTGCAGCTTTGCTGTACCTCTAGTGCGCATTTTGTTCAACTTATGATCTACCGTTCTTTCTACGGAAGCAAGGTCCCAACTTGGTGGTTGAGGGTTTACGCTTTTTAGCATATATGGGCCTAAGGCTGCAGGTTTCTGATGTGTCCAGGGCGGGTTGGGGGCTATGACGGGTTACGCCAGAGGGTCTTTAACACACAGCCGCCAAATATAGTCTAGTCTTCAGCCTTCCTTGCATCGCTTCTTAAAGGGCGTGAATTCCTGAAAGGTCGCTGCTTCCAGGCTTGCCGGGGTGTGTGGGTGGTGGACTAGGAGGCAGAAATAGATGAACCAATGAAAGTAATCATTGCTTCTTCAGTTCTGCTTGTACAAGTCCGATACCAAGTTCAAGCAAGCGACTTCCTTGTTTCGAGGTATTTAGCTGCGCGCGATCCTAAATTTCAAGGCAGCGGGAAATACCACCCCGTGGGCGTAGGGTCCAATTAAGGTCTAGGGTTTAGGTTGGGTATTGGCCCCACTCAGTAAAAGTTGAATAATATTGCTAAAAATGGCTTTAGCAGGCCCTTGTTCTACATTGTTACTGTATGGGGGCAGTGTCCACGGTTTAAGGTTGAGGTGCTAGTTACATGATTCTCCAGCTAGACCCTAAAATGTAGTATCTTTTTGTGGTTGCCTTAGTTTCTCATTCTGGGATCCTAACCATGAAAGAGACTGCGAAGCCTTTGCCAGGTGCTTACGGTGCAGGGCGACTGGCTCGTGTCGAGCCAAGATGAGGCGTTTGGGTTGTGGCCAGCAACCCTAAACCCTATAACCTCAACCCTAAACCTGCAACCCTACGGTTTGTGGTTAACTCTCAACCCTAGACTGAAGTTGCAGGATTTCCTGCTGCTTGCGTGTGAAACGTCGTGGCCTGTGTTTCGGGATGATTCGCATTTAAGAAGCCTTCGTCTTGCAACAGTGGAAGCAACAACTTACTGGACCGGTTTCATGTTTCGATCAGTATTCACTTTGACCAGCAACAAGACTGCTGGTCATCACAGCCGCCGGATGAGAAACGAAAGCCATAGCCAGAATACTGCGAATCCTTAGGCCCACACCCTACTTGGAGGTTCACGGGTAGCTATAACTAGGGTTGTAAGGCCCCAAATATGGGAGACAACTATAGTTGCCCCACTTATACCCCCCCCACTTATAATTTTACCCATGAACCTCCAAGTATAGCCTAAACCGAACACCGTCGCTCGGAGAGGATCGTCTTCCGACTCGCCGTTGTCATCACAAGAACCGAAGCCCTAAACCAGAGATCTCTATTGTAGGAGCCTATATATAATTACCGATACTATTTTGGGCTTCCTCATTATAAGTATAGTATAATGGACCCCAAGACCCTATTCTAATTATCAAGGCCCTGACATCAAAGCAGAGACCTACCCAGGGAGGGCCCAAAATACATAGCCGACCCGCTTACCTTTTCAGCCTGCGCAGGATGATTTCCCAGAAAACTCGCCCATCCAAATCTGGAGTAGCATGTGTATTTCAACCAAAACATGTCCCCCAAGACTTAGGGTTTAGGGTTTAGGGTTTTGGGTTTAGGGTTTAGGGTTTAGACCTCCGAACCCCAAAATTCGTACATAATCCAACCCCCCCAATCCCTGAACCCTGATCCCTGGACCCTCCACCCTTACAGAACCCTCAATAAAGATCCCTGAAAGAACACCTTTAACCCTCCTGCCGTATCTCAGTCGTCGGAGGTGGCCGCAGTGCAGCTCGATGGTCGCAAGCGCGCCATCGACATGCAGGCCAGTGCAAAAAGATCAACTGTTTAGGTGCTAGGGCTTTGGGGTTCAGGCTACAATGATTACAAGCTCAAGATGAGTAGGGAGGCTGGAGTGTAGTTATAGTACCTCCAAGGATTAGACTTACCAGCAGATTTTCCCAGCCTTCAGTCTTAGATCCTCGACCTGAACCCAAAACCCTGCATCCCACCCTCAAGCCCGAAAAAGCCCAAAGCTCTTGAGCCCTAAAGCCTTAAAACCCTGCAGCCGAACACCATAATTCTTAAAAGTAGCCCTCACAGCCTTACAGAAACCCTTAAGCCCTAATCCCTAAGCCCTGAACCCTTGAGCTCCTAATCCCTAAGCCCTCAACCCTTTAGCCCTATCCCTAAGCCCTAGGCCCTTAAGCTCCTAATCCCTAAGCCCTGAACCCTTAAGCCCTTAGCCCCTTTCCGAGGCCCGGCTAATGTTGGCCTTCGGCTGGGCGCCGCTTGGCGCCTCGGTGCTGCTGGTGGCCAATGCAGCTACTGGCTCCGAAGAGTGGGGAGTTTCTGGTTTAGGGCTTTAGGGATTTAGGGTCTAGGGATATAAGTTCGGGTTTAGGGTTTAGGCTTTAGGGATATAAAGTCGGGTTTAGGGTTAGGGATATAAGTTCGGGTTAGTGGTTTAGGGAAGTTTCTGCAAGGGTTCCTGTAATGTTTCCTGTAAGGTTCTAGACAAGTTAGTTAGTGTACGGGTTGTGGAAGAGATTCCCGGAGTCTTGGGACTTGATAGAGAGTTCGGGGCATTGGGCTTATTATGTAGGGTATCGTGGAGTGTCGAAGTGAGACCCAGAGTGTGGTTTACGGTTCCGGACTTCTTCATAAGGACCCTTAGGGGGGTGGGGAGGGGAGAGGGGGAGTAGGGGGGCCCTTAACACCTCCAATAAGGACCTGATAAGGCCTATTTCCTCAGGGTCCCTATGACTTCAGGTTGGGTTTCCAGGACCCGAAGCCGCGAACTTGCACAGGCCTTCACCTAAGTGCGGCTCCAGGCTTCGAGCGCATGGTACTGTAGCATTTTTTCTTTAAGAGCACTTTATAACGGGTGTCGTTTAGGCTTTCCTGGAAAAGTCTAAGGGCTAGGTATTCCCTTTTTGCAGACCAAAACCCTGGCTTTCGATTCCGAGCAGCACAAACCTCAAATCTGTTGAATATTCAAATGCACCTTATACCCGAAAGCCTTAAACCTGAAGCCTCAACCTGAGGAAAGCAAGATGCTGAAGGTCATGGCTGGCCATTGGCTTTGGGGCACTATAGGCTGGTTGGAACTCTTCAGCACCTGTGTAACATGGACAGTAAGAAGGTCCCAGAAGAAAGACAGACAGAAAAACAGACACACGGAGAGAGTGAGGTAGCCAAAACACGATTGCAGCCCGAAACCACAACCAAACCTTCAAACCCGCACCAAGACCCATGACCAGCGCACCAAAACGACCCCAACTCTCACCAAGAAGTTGCTGCAGTCACCAAGCTTCCAAACCACAGACTTGGCAAGAACAAGCGGAATACTCGCAGCTGCACAGCGACACAACGGTCGAATCCTTGACAACTCAGCTCCTTCTCAGGATGGTGTCGTGGTGTACCAAGACTCACCGCTAGTGTCCGTAGTGCCGCCTGGGCAAGTCTTGGTCATTCACGAAGCAGACCAGGCTCCTCTAGAAGCCATTGCAGTTCGATAACTGTTCGGATGGAAACCCCCAGCAACTGTTTCTTAGCTTGGTACAGCAGCAGAAACATGAAGTTGTCCTCAGCTGCAGACGAGCCGTCGGCCAAGGAGACGCAGACGTTACCACCACCTACCCATGCTGCACATTCGTTGAAACGTTTTGAAGCTACTTGCTTTGCATGGTCTTGGCCGGAGCTTCGGCAATGGCGGCGACGCAATGCGCTCTTGCATCCTTGGCTTCCAGGTTTGTTTCTTCTGAAAGCCACCGCGCCGACATGTCCTTGCATATTCCAGATCTTGACCTTGACACTTGTGCTCCACATGTTGACTTCGGTCAGGGAGAGGAGGCCACTGAGAAGCTTTTGCGGCAGGCCAGCACTCGGAGTGAGGCAACAAACTTCCACCTTTTCGGGTTTAGGCTTTGCTTGCCACTAAACATGTCCTGTGAGCACGAAGCTGGCTGGACATGCGCGCGCTGCAGCTGGGCCGGATCGAAGCGCCAGAGTCTCTGCGCCGCTGGGCTTTCTGATCCGAAAGCACGAATGTAGCGAAAGCTTGACGCTTGCAACTTCCAAAACTGCAAGACGCACATCCAGGTACCGGGCGCCACGTTGCAGCACCGTTTCGCCATTGGCGAAGTGGTGAAACGTGGCTTGGAGGCCCGCGATCGCGCTTTTGACAGTCTCTGGCGGCTCATGAAAGCGTGATTGCGTCGCTGGACTTGGTGACCTTGGGCTGCAGCCCATCTCTTGTAGGTGACAAGAAATCTGCGTCTTCAATGGTTTCGCAATCTTCAGGACGATGGACTTGCATTTACAGTTGATGAAGGGGGGTTATCAGACTCAGAACATCTAAAGAATTTCAATGTACTCCTGCTACAAGTAGTGTCAGGGTTGAGGTTTCAGCAATCAGGGTTTAGGTGAGGTGAGGTCAGGTGAGGTCAAGCCAGGCAAATCAGGTCAGATCAGATCAGGTCAGGTGAGATCGTATCAGATTCAAAAAACCGCGACTCAGATCAGACAGTCCAGGTCACAGCAAGTCAGGTCAGGTCAGGTCTGCTCAGGTCAGCTTAGGTCAGCTCAGGTCAGGTCAGTGCCGGTCAGATCAGATCCTTGTTGTGCGTGCTCTTCCGAGGTGACCGGGAATGGAAGTTCCGGAGGACAAATTCATTGACGTTTGTGTTTGCTCCTGTATCCACATCCGGTCCAAGGTTCGTAGCCTTTGGTCGATAAAGCACAATCGGTCGAGAACGTGGGTAGATTCCAGAGATACTTGACACCTCTGTTCGCGAGTGGAATCGTTCATGGCAAGGACCGCCGGACATGCAATGCTCTCCGGGCCGAGCGAGCAAAAAAAGTTGGCGCACTTGCATTTGTTTTGGCGCAGCCCCCGTCGGCTAGGTGCGTGTTCTGCTCGTTTGGTGCGTGTTTCGGTTGTTTTGGTGAGCGTTAATTTTTGCAACCAACACGATTGCAGCCCGAACACACACAATCGAAAGCATGTTGTTCATGTCATTGTGATGATAGCTCGAGTTGTCGTTTGGCTCTGCTTGGTCTTGAAAGTCGGAGTCGTGGGCTTAAGCACAAACTGTAGCTTCGATCTGTTGCAAGGCAGGGATGAGCGTCCTGATGTATGAGCCTCCTAAGCAGTGCATCGGGTTCGAAGTTGTAGAATTCCTCATGGCCGTGTGGTTGCGAACATGATTCCTTGCCGTTTCGGATAGACAGTTGGCAATTCGACGGAGAGGGCTGCAACTACAGCATGTCATGTCCAGGTATAGGCATTGTAAGAGCCATCAGCACTGGTCGTTGCTGTGCCGTATTTCAGCTTATTTGTACATGAGTCTGTGTCTAGCCAAAACTGCAGAATCTCTGTGTTAGATTATGACCTAGATTATCATGATCGAAGTTTCGCAGCAGTTTGTTCTAGATGTGCTAGACCCATTGATGCCACATAAATGCCGTGTACTTTGCAGCACATAGCTGGGGTTGGCAGTTCTGGAGATTCTCGCCCACATGCATTTTGCGTGGGTGTGGTTGTGGTTGCGGTTGTGGTTGTTGTTGTGGTTGTGGTAGTTGTGGTGGTTGTGGTGGTTGTGGTGGTTGTAGTTGTTGTGGTTGTTTCTGCTGTTGATGTTGCTGCCGCTGCCGCTCCGGCTGCTGCTGCTGCTGCTGCGGCGGCTGCTGCCACCGCTGCCGCTGCTGCATTTGCCATTGCTTTGGGATCCGTGATCTCAGACCGCCTAAGCCAGTCGCATATGCAGGGTCACAGCTGTCCTTGCCAATGCTCTTGGTGCACAACGTGCTGTTCGTGGCCGCTCGCCGCAGGGATCTTCAATAACCCTGAAGTCCCAGGGATGAAACTTGCAACACCTGCAATTTTTGGATGTCATCAAGCGGGCACCTTTATTCACGCTATGACTCGAATCAGTCAGCAGTGGTGTATATTCAAAAGCAGGGGCGCGCATACGCTTACTTCTGCATGAAGCGAAAGTACAGTGCTGCAGTCGAGAGGTCTGCATAATTACTGAGAGTATCCCCTTGTCGCTCCTGTAAAACTTTTAGTTATACACTGTTTTTATAAAAACACATTGTTTTTGAATTGTTTTTATAAAAGTTAATACTACTGCAACCGCGTGCGTGAAATATGAAGGCCTCCCTAAACCCTGAACCCTAAGCCCTTGTCGAAGTCGAAGAAGCAAAGACTCCAATATCCCTTAATCAAGGAATAATGCGTAAATCATTTTGGGGATCCGACTATAAGTTAAGGTATATTCCTTAAATCATATTAAGGATCCTGCTATAATTTACGGTATATTCCTTAATTAAAGGATATTGGAGTCTTTGGGGAAGCTTTCGGCTGAGGTCATTGAGGGGGCGGCGCTTCCTGGGCCGTCCTGGGATTACCCCTTCTCGCAGCTGCGGCCTGCAAACTGTTCAAGCCCTTAGGGGTTGAGGGGTTTAGGGTTTAGGGGTTTAGAGTTCTTGTGCCAGGGAACTGAAGGTAGTAAGAGTTTAGGGCCGTGTAGAGTTTAGGTTTTGGGTTTGGCGCTTTCGGAGTTTATGATTTGGCGCCACTTGCTGAGATGAGCACCAGTCTAAGCAGGAAGCGTCATGCTCAGGTACATGATCTTCTTCTCGCTGTTGCTCGTGGCGCCTCGGAAGGCAACTTTCGGCCAGGCCGGTCAAACCCGAGGCAACACACTGTTGGCCCAGCTATGCATCGGCAGGTCGGTACATGCCTAGGGCTACACTCTTACGAAGTGTCTTATGAATGTACCTTGCTGTTCAACCCTAAACCCTAAACCCTAAACTTTAACCGAAGCTTCCTCTCCCCAAGATCTGAATCTGGCAGAGCTCCAGGTGCTCTGTGCCTCCTGGCTGCTCTCCGCCATGCTGCAGCTGCTGTTTCTGGGTCCAGCCGCGCGGCGAAGACAGCTTGACTCAACTTTTTCTGAGCCCTAAACCCTAAACCCTAGTCAAGACCTGCTCTCTGCGGAGTGGAGAAAGAGCCATTGCACCTTAAAGCAAAAAAACCCTAGTCAATCTCCACGAGTTCCGAAGAGAAAGGCATCGGCTTCGTGGACGTCAAGTCCCGGAGGCCTCGGCTTCAATACCAAGTACCGATCCCCGCTAACCCCGGGAGCTCTTGTGACAGAACCCTATAAAGCTTGAAACAAGCAATGCTCCTTAAATATATTACATGACATGGAAATGCCAGAAAATGACCGACGGTAGCGCAGTAGGATCCCGTACGTACCGAAAGCCCGATACTTTTGGCACCCCTATTTCTGAACCGCCCCCTAACCTTGTATCAGGTCCAGGAGCTGCTGCGGAGGTGGCTTTGAAGGTTGTTCATAAGGCTACCGCAAAAGGTATGACAGCCATGACAGCGTATGAGTGCGGAGTGCGTGGTTTGGGTGTAGGGTTTTGGTCTTTGCGGGTCGGGGTTTCGGATGTGTGGCTTTGGGTTTCACGCTTGGGGCTTTAAGGGCTTTGGGTTTGGCGTCTGGGATTTCGGATGTCAGGTATAGGGGTTTGACCCCAAGCCCCAGGCCTTAAACCCCAAACCCCAAACTTTCCCAAACCGTTGTACCTGGAGGATCATGGGACTTAGTAAGTAAGGTTATAAGTAGCGGTTATAAGTAGTCATAAGTATAGTTACCTCATTTATAACCCTAAAGCTACTATGTCCCATGATCCTTTAAGTACTGTCTTGAGGGCCTGGCCTTCAGGGTTTGGGTCGTGCGACCGAGAACATCCCATTGAAGTCCCTTCGCAATCATAGTGTAGTGTACACCAAAGCCATGTTCTGTTCTTGAGGCCCCTACAATCTAGCCTTAAGGCTCGACAGAACTGCTTTACAAATCCCTTCTACTTGTTGGGCCCCACTATTTGAGAGCTTCAAAGGAGAGCTTACTTGGGTGCTTTTGGAGGCCGATGGCGTGGGCCGATGAGTAGAAAGCTTCTGAGTCGGAGCGATGATGTGGGATGGGTACTAGTAGGGCGCTACAGGGATCTTCGGGCTATTGGTTTCAGATCTTAGGTATCAGTGCTACGAGATACTGTTGTTATTGATTGTTGATGTCATCGTGAGAGTTAGAATTGTGTTTGAAATTTCTTTGCAACTTACAATTAATTCACGGCAGGAGAAAACGTGTGAAGGCAAAAAGGCCCTCTAGTCAAAAGCTTTAAGATTGGTTGGAATATCACCAGTGCCATTTCCTGCATGCTGTCAACGATATCCCCATCACACACGAGTTTTCAGAGTCGCGAGCAAAGATCGCGCGGAGACAGCGTCGCTCTGGAAAATGGCTTGAGTTCAGTCAATGTCGTTGAATTTTCCCATAGAGTTCATGATGGCCCATGATCATCAATCTAGCTTGAAGCCTTCTTCTGCCAGTCTCCACTTCCTATATGCCGCTGCCATTACAGTTGTACAACTGTGAAGGGCTCGAACAAGAAAAGCCATCACGAAGGTCATACGCCTGACTGGACAGCCACGAGCTCGGACTTGTTTTAACGTACCTTTTGGGCAGGCACTCTGCCGCTCAACGTGTTGTGCCAAGCTGCTGCAGTGCGTCGTCATCTTTGCATCGAATGCCATGCGCTTTGTGGTTAAGTAGCACGCTCTTGCTGTCGACTACCGTGAACCGATTATCAGCGCTTCAACTCGCATGCTTTGCTTGTCGGTTCAGGGCCAGAGCATATGGAACGCAACATGCTATTACAGCGTTGGACAGCGTTGGCAGTGCCGTTTATGGCATCAAGCCTGACGAGCGAACCAGACCTGGAAGCTCCAGCAGTAACAGCCCCAAGCCCCAACAGATATGGGTGGTTGTCAAAATTAGGCTCCCTTTTTAATGGGTCTCTAATATAGTACGGCACCTATTATTTAGGGTACCCAATAAGGGACCCTAATGTTGACAACTACCCATATGACCGTTTGAAACATGGACAACCACCCCAATAATGACCCACAGGACATCAAGTATAACCTAAACCCAGTTTTAGCCCTAAACCCAACACCACACAAAAAATGGCTAAGGAAACATGGAGGGCGTATGCTTGGGGAAGTGCCTTCCTGGCGGGGCACGCGACAGGCGACCGATAAACAGGCACACAGGGTCATATCGGAGAATATGTGGGTTGGGGTTCATTAGCTTGAGCCAAGACCCTTATTGTTTCAGGGTTTTACACCTGCGGTTGATAAAAAGTGTCTCTAGGGCATTCTATCCACCCTGCCCGGAATCCTCAGTTCTGTAGTGTTGCTTTTTTATCTGCACCAAGCAGTCCTGAACATGGAGAGGGGCTCGAATGGCAGTTGTTGGTGACATGACTACATGGACGGCATGGACCTTCCATCGCATATATTGCTGCAACAAACGCAGTACTTGCACTAGAGTCTTCGGAGGTCATTATCATCATGTATACCAGCTGTGCCGGAAGGAAATATGGACCCGAAGCAGATGAAGAGATCGATCACCTTCGTGAGCAAGTCAGGCGCGAGCGAATTCGAGCATGAATTCAGGGTTTTGTGGGCACATGCGGCCATGATGTGAAAGCAGGACAACTCTGTTAGCCCGTTTGGTGGGCGCAGTGATGTTCATGCCTATTCAAAGCTTACTGGACGTCGTAACGGCTGGTCCTGACAAGCAAGTTGGTCGCATGCAGCAGTCGCAGCTGCAGCTGCATGTCCAGCGTCCAGCTTACCAGAACCCTAAACCCTCAACCCTAAACCCTAAACCCTAAACCCTAAACCCCGAACCCAAAACCAAAAACCTTAAAGTGGAGGCCTGAGGCCGAAGGAGTTTCGGATAGAATTCCGCAGGCTTCCTTCTGATAGCTATCTTCTGCAATGTACCCCGGACCGCCCAATTACCCAATCCCTAAACCCTTAACCCTAAACTCAAACCCTTAGCCCTAAACCCTGATTGATTGCAAACCCATGACCAGGGCTCTGACGGATGCAAACTTGGCTCTGCGGCGGGAGGTTGCGGTGCGCAGCCACTGCCTCCGGGTTTAGGAGTTTGGGGTCGCTCCAAGCTGGGCTGTTTCCTCCGTTCCGCGATTTTTTATACATTGCATAAGATGTATTGTATATTATACATTTTATAAGTTTGTATATATATATATATATATACATATGTAATGAACAAGTTGCAAAGGACCAAATTTCAGGCAATGTTGTCCAACTGTGATCCGTTGAGCTGCGGTTGGGTGCGGCAAGGGGCAGTTGGATATCAGGTTGGGCAGGACGCTGTTCGATGACTTTCCAAAGCAGCAGCTCTCAAGAACCCTAAACCCTAAACCCCAAACCCTAAACCGTGTCAAGCTTCTACTCCGAGGCCCCTCACCCGTTCAATCTGCCGGATAGTTACAAGCCATCTAGAACTGAAATGTCCGGCTGCTCAATCCCGACCACTTCTGCAGGTGTTGTGTGATTACTATAACAGGCCCCTTAAGCGTTAGACCAGGAGGGACTATAAGGGGTCACCTCATTCAATTATGCAGGGATTCGTAAGGAGCCATGCTTTCAGGTGGGCTGAAGGATGACCCCTCCTTCATCACGACAAGAATCGGGTTTCGGGGTGTATACGTTTACCACAGCTATATACGGACCATCAGCGAATGTTAGTGCTATTTAGGGACTGGCACGGAATATTCTACCATACTCAAATATGGGGCTGTTACATAGGGAGTTAGATTATCACTAGGTGCAGCTCTCGTCCCATCTTCAAGTTCGGTGCCGTGCGGTCCGACGTAGCCATTGGCACGAAAGCATGCTACGCACAGGGCTTGGGGGTTCTTATGACAGGTTGACTTTGCCTTGAAAGGTTACTGCTGTGGTGCAATTGAGGGTACATTTGAGCAAATATTCGGATCTCAGGTAATAGCCCTTAGGGAAAGACCATATGCCTGCAGGACTCTATCAACGGTTTTGCGCCGGTGTGCCTTCTGAATGCGGTCTGCTTCAGTGTTGTAGAGCCCTATGGACACGGAATTTCATAAAGTGACCGTGTGTGCCGCCATGGGCTGTGCCGGGACTGATGCGACCGCAATTCTGCGATCCTCGCTGATGGAAGCCACAGCATGCCACAAAGTTGAAGCAGTTGAGGTCAGGATGGGCGTTAAGGCATGTGGCTTCAAGGATTGCGTTGGAGGGTTTCAGGGCTCAGAGCCCAGCGCTGTAAGTGTAACTTACAAAACTTGATGTCCGATGATACAGGAGCCTTCGATGCAGCACCAGCATGCTGCAGACAATGGTCGGCTCTTATCCTGAAGACAGGAACCCAAAATGAAAGGCCCCCCCTAAAGCCTCAACCCTAAACCCAGATTTGCCCAAACGGGCTTTTGAGACGCTTCATGCAGATCGAACAGGGGCCCTTAAACAAAAAGAAAAGCACAGACTGTAAGCACTGAAGGCTAGAGTGGGAGGAAGCCTCAGAGACTGCTCGGAGCCGAGGTGATGCTCGGTGCAGCTGCGCAAAGGCCGGGCCATATCCTGGTAATATCGGGCCTTACTACTTGCCTATACTATTTTGTGGGGTCCTTATTTTATTTATATACATTCCATGATCTTCTTAAGTGTCTGTTTCTATGGCTAAAAAATTAGCGAAGCAGACAGTCAAACAGTCAATTTAGTACGCGGATATTCGTGAATCACATACGGCTAACACAATACTCAGCAGAACGGCCAGGAAGCTACGGATGCCTACACTGCTTGCCTGGCCTTGCGCAGCCTGCAGCGGCAATCGGCATGGCAGGAGCCTGCAGTAACGTTTATGGCCTAGGTTAGGTTTTGGGTTTAGGGTTTGCAGACATGAGCTTCAGAGCGTGGGCGGACCTGCTGGCTGACACTAAGAGCCCAGCTGCATAGGTTCAGGGTTCAGGATGTTGCCCAACACTGTCACCACGAACAGCATTGAATCACAATCGACATAAAATGAAGCTGCCGCCAAGAGACGTATTGCTGTTTCTTTGCTTGTGGCTTCCTGGCTTCTGCCGCTTGTTGGCTTCGGGCTCCCACCCAAACTTCTCGCCAAAGCCTCCACCCACCACACGTGCCTGCACTGGCCCCTACCTATCTACAGACATACACAGTGGTGCATACTCTTTGTCTTAGCTTGTGTCGGTAGCCATGTGATACTGAAGTGAGTTTCGCAAGAATCCGAGCGAATCCTAGCCACCCTGGGCAGGAGGCAATCCAGCTCTTTACAGAAATTGATCGGCGGTCCGTCGAGATAAACGAGTATGTATGCACTGCAGCCGTTACTTCTTGTGGGCTGCCTGGCCTGTTGAAGGCGACATGGTTTCAGGGGTTTTCGGTGAGCTCTTTCAGAGCGCTTCCTTCTGGTAGACGTAAGGGTTGCAGGGCTCAACAGTGCAGGTGATTCGGATGTGCAGGGCCTAGACTTGGGCGAAAGGTGTGCTGATTGCCCATGCCGTCGTTGATTTCGGTGTTTTCCTGTCAGCACGGCCTCCAATACGATGCTGCTTCGAGTTGGATATCAATACCCGAATGCGACTTCTGACGACACGTGCTGGGTATGAAAGTAATCATTGCTATCTTAAGGCCAAGAACAGTATTTGTAGTACTGCGTTTGAACTGCAGCACGAAGTGCCCCTCTGCACAATCATCAACATCTTGAGCGCCGTCGTCATCACCAACAATATATTACATTCAAATTTGTCCTCGCCACCATCAGCAACATCATCATCACCATCAGCATTATGACCATCATCATCATCATCAGCATTATGATCATCATCATCTTCGGCATCGGCAGCATAGTCATGATCATTGCCAGGAACACATTTGAGGCTGGTCCTTCCACGACAAGTATGGCCGATTCGAGAGTGTGCAGAGATACAGTAGCCCAGTGTTGCTCGAGGGCATAATCTACCGGGACTCCTTACCAGGTTCAAGGATTGCGGTTGAGGTACAGCCAACATCCTGA